GAGGCTTGTGTTGAGTGGGTGATGTATGAAAGGGGCTTGTGGCAATGAGTTAGGATGGAGCAGAACTCACAAATAAAAGGCAAACAGATTTCCAGTGTCTCTGTGCCATGGTTTAGATCATGTGTTTTACTGAAGTTTTGATTAAAGTTTGGTATTTAAAGAAAAATCCCAAGATCTAACTCAATCATGGAAACTACCTGGTTATTGCAAGATGATTTGTGTAAGTTCACAAACTGGGATGTGCAGCTTCTTTGGATAATTTTGTGCTCTGAGCTGAGAAACCTTCAGGCATCTCATCTACACACTTGGCTCTTTTATCCCAATACTTGGCCCTTCCAGAATTTCTTTTCCCTGAGGAATTCAAACCTTTTTGCAGACTTTTTTGAGTTTTCTTTGTCAAGGCACACGATTTGTGAGAACGGGGTGGAAAGTAGGGAGAGTGCTGGAAGGTCCTCGTGTACCTGGATGTTCCCACTTGTTTTCCCTCCCCCTTCAGCTGCCAGCAGTAGCAGGGAATGGAAATTATTTTGGGATGTGGCAACTCTGACTTGAAAAGAATAGTTCTGTTTTATAGAATCATCTTCCAGGGTGAATTTTATTGTCATTTAGTGTTAAATCGAGTGCAGTCACAGGCAACCAGTGCAGAGTTCTGCTGTGTGCCCTCAAATGGGATTTTGGAATTTTCCATGTTTTGGAATTACTGGCTCTGCATTAGGGTGGGAGGACAGAGAGCTGAGTTGGGTGTGGTGCTGCCTGTGAGGTGTCTGAGAGAGAACTGACTGTTGCATAAAACTGAACTAGCTTTTTCCTAGTTACCCTTTACAGAAAGTTGAATATTACCCAGGAGTTGTGTGGCTGGTTGGAAACTGAGGGCTTTTTCTGGGCAGCACTGAGCTGCCTTTCAGTGGGAAAGGGAGGCAAGGGAGCTGTGGGAACAGGAGGGGCTGTGTGCCAGTTCTCAGGGTCAGGAACAAGCCTGAGCAGGCAAACAGGTACCCAGCCAGCTCCACCAGCAGGGTTAAACTCAGCCTCAACTTGCTAGGCCTGAATTAAATCAGCATTAACAGAGTGCCAGGAGAAGGAAGGTTTCACCCAGGAATAAAATGTGAGTCTGGTTAACAAGCAAGGGATATAGGGACCTCTCAATGCCCTGGGAAGTCTCCGAGTTTTTGCAGTACCACAGATTTTATGAACCCATTGATAGGGGTTTTTTAGGAGTGGATGTTTTGCAGTGGCACCACGAGCAGCCCCCGAATGTCAGTCAGATGAGCTGCAGCACTTGGGGCTGGAACTCTGCTGTGCAATGTTTGCAGTCGCATTTTTGGTTAGAAAATTCAGAGTTCAAAAGCCCAAACCGGTCCTTTTCAAGTGCTGTTGCCTCACACTCAGCTGTTTGTGTGGCCCTCCAGGGTCACATTGCTTGAGTGGCTGGGATGGTGCAATTCCAGTACCTTGGGGATAAAGGTGGTACAGGATGGAGCTCCCCAGAGCAGAGCTTAATCAGAATGGCACACACAAAAAAGCTGATTTTTGATGGTTTGCTTTTACGACTTATTACAAGCAGGATTGGTGTGTCTTTTACTCATAGAAAACGTGGAACACACAGGAAAAAGCACAGCAAGTTAACCTGAGAACCAGGTACACCTACAAGTGTGGAAAGCTGTCTGAAATCATCTGAAATGATGTGGTTTGTACCAATTCATTATCCTGGCAACCAGAATTTCCTGGCTGTGTTGGTAGAGGGGTTGCTACATTTAATCAGCAAGCTGCCTAATCTTCCTAACCTTCTTATTGTAACCTGCCTAACTATTGTGTAATCTCCTTATGGCAGTAAGCCCTCACTATTAGTGGCAAGTTTTGAGCTATGGAGGTGCAAATATTTTTGTTTTCAGTCCTGTTGACAACTGCCTCTGTGCTCATGAAATTAAACATGATCTCACAGTGTTAATGATCAGAAAATAAGAATATTTCTTGCCTGTTAACATCTGCCTCCTCTGTGCTATAGCCATGTAATCATGTGGGGGATTGTCCCACTGGTTAATCCTGGGATGCAATTCCAAGGGACAGGGATCATAAACAGCCACAACTGATGAGGGGGAAGTCCTGCTGTCCCTGTCACCTCCTGACCTTCATTCGTGTCTGGGTGGTTTGCCTTGTCCCTGGGACTCCTGATTTCTCTGCTCCATCTGACTGCTGTGATTTTACTAGACAGGAAATTTTCTGATACCATTTATAAGTCTTAGTTAATTCCTCAAATACCTGGAATTCCTATTGAAGAAAGAAGCAATTTTGAGTTTTGCTGGAGTATGCAAGGGTTTTTGTTTTTTGTTTCTTTTTTTCCTAAAGCCAAGTAATTACCAAAAGAGAGATTAAACTGTAATTCCACTGAAGCACAGACACCAAACTATTCTTAATTTTACCTCATTTTATCTGATTTCATTATTTTAATGTTCATTAGCCAGCAGCTGCCATGTCTTGTAATAATGTACTGGACAGTATTCCTGGACAAATATATTCTGTATACAAAACTCATGTTTGACTTCAATTTGTGGGCAATGGGACAGACATAGAAATAATTTTTAATAATATATCTTGATCTTTAGAGTGCCCATTATCTGCCAAGCTCAGGCAAATGTTTTGTTTGCTGCCTTGAGGATTCTACAAGAGGCCATAATTAATTCCAAAACAGAGATGGCTTTAAATATTTTCTTCAAGAAGTTGAATTCTTTTGTTATTCTCTTCATCTGGAGTAGCTGTAAAAGGTTATGATGTAATAATTTTTTTTTCCTCAGAGGAAAAGGGAACATAACCTGCTTGGTGTTGTGATAACTGTGTACAGGAAGGGATGGTTTCTAGAGGAAACAACATTGTAAATACAAAAAATGCTTCTAAAAGCACAATATCCCAAACTTCTGGCTTCTTATTTCAGAATATAAATATAATTATGATATGGAAACACTATTCTTGCACTTCAAAATTATTTCATACCAGAGCTCACATGCAAAGTTACCCCCTTCTTCCCATGTGGTATCTGTAATCCTTTTTTCAGATACACCTTCCTCATTTTCTTTGCAAATTTTTGAACGTGTTCCTACTGTTATGCTGTGGCCATTAATTAAAATATAAAAGACAGAATATTCAGTAATCTGTGAGAAACTTTCCTATTCCTTTCCCTCCTGCTAGGTGGCTTCCCTGCAAACATAACTCATCAGCATTTCTCCTCTAATGAGCTTTGTGCCTTAAAATGCTTCTGTTACATCACTTTTGGATTTTAATTTTCATCTTCAAGTTTTTTTCTTTAAATACAGTTTTGGAGTTTTTTCCAGTGCTCTCATCCTATTAGTTATTCTGGATTCTCTACATTTAAATCATCCTCCTTGCAAAAAAAAAAAAAAAAAAAAAAAGGTCAAATCATGAGTTGGTTTTTAGGCCAGATTATTTTTCATCTCCTGACAGGTGTACATAGCTCTTCTTTGTTTAAAATATTTTTTACTGCTGTACTTTGCTTCACAAGGTTTAATTCACCCTGACCTGTCTGTCTTCATTTCTATTCTGTCATCTCTGATTTTTCTTTGCTTTTTTAACTCCTTATTGGAATGTTTATCCCTTTATGTTTGTAATGCAATTTCTGAACAGCTTTTTTGACTTAAATCTCATTATCCTCCCTGTCTGAAAATCTCAGCTGCTCCAAGTGATTTCCATAAGTGGTTCCTGGAATACCTCAAGGTTTGATCTCCCATTCATGAGGATCTGTCTTTTCCTTGGTTTCTTTAAGATCTTTGCTAGCAATTTATGTCCTAGAAATGCTTCCTGGAAATCTCAGGAAACCAGAATCCATTGGATCTCCTTAGTCCACACAGTTCTGGGTTTTTTTTTTCCAGAAATGCTAAAAAAGTTGAGGTATAACCTCCAAAAACTGTCCTAACTCTTCCTGGTTATATAATATTTATCATGTTCATTAATTCTGTTATTATTAAGGTTTATATTTAATATATTTTAAAATTCAGTGACAAACTCCATCTAAATTACACACAGGTTCTCAACTCTTTCTAAAACCTTAAAAAGCCTTGGTTTTGCTACTTTCTCTACATTCAGAGGAATTTTAGTGGTATTTTAATCCCTATCTTAGTGGTTCAACAATTATATATTTGTTCTTTAAAAACACTTAGTTGAGTGCTGTCAAATCTTAGAAAGAGATTTGACTTTTCTTCCTTTGAAGTCAATCTTCCTTTAAATAAATCTGAGGAAAAAACCCATAATTTAGAGCTCCTCTGCCTTCTTTCAGAAAAGGATTTGATTTCCTAGAGACAAGTAGCAGTTCTATGTGATGGGTAATTGTACAACTCTTCAGAATTACAGAATTACCACTGCCTTGTGAAGCAAGTATTAATATTTTCACAGACATTTTATTCAAGTTGAAAAAAAGTTTCAAATTCACATTAGTTATGTTCACACTTCAAAAATAAATAAGAATGCTTAAAAAACTCCCAAACATGGGGAAACTGTGTAACAAAAGAAAGAGGGAAAAATAGTAACAGATTTTTTAGCAAGAAAATCAGTAATAGTAGGAGAAGGTACTACTGATATAAGGAAAAAATAAATCCCAAACATTTTTTGGAGAGTTTTTGTGGAGTAGCTGAAGTCCTGAGCAGCCAGTGTGTAAGAAGAGCTATTAAAGCACTTCCTTGCATAGATTCATACAACTGGAGTCACCTGAGGTAAAAAGATTCCCCTTTTCCAGGGATAAAATGGCAATTCCTGCTCCAAAATCTCCCCTGGCTTTGCCAGCCCGTGGCAAGAGCTGGATATGAGCCCTCAGTAGTTACACAGCACACTGTGTAATTTATCATTAAACAATGAGGCTGCAGCTCATTTTAACAACAGAAGTGCACTAATGTCACAGAAGAGTGCAATGAAGAAGAGCAATACAAAAGGAAATTATTTTCTTGGTGAAAACTACAAACTTGAGCTCTCTTACTGGAAAACAAACACAATTCTTGCACTAGCAGGTGCCTTAAACCAAGAGGTAAAAATTCACAGAATTTTGGATTTGTAGCAAAGCACCAAGTTTTACTCTGGTGACTGTTCCACAGCCAGCAGTGGAAGAGGTTCCTGAGTGGCAGCCCTTCCTGTCAGTCCCCTTCCTCATCACTGGGAATCATCACTCTCATACTCCTCATCCTCATACTGGAAAGCAGCCTCAGCTTCAGGGTCTGACTGAGCTTCCTCTTCATGCTCCTGGGACCTGTCAGACTGAGAGCTGGGCCTGGACTCATCCTCCTCTTCCTCTTCCTCCTGGGAATGGCCTGCCTTTGCTTCCTCTTCCTCCTCCTGGGAATGGTCAAGAGATGGGCCTGCTTTTGCTTCTTCCTCCTCGTCCTCCTCCTCCTCTTCCTCCTGGGAATGACCAAGTGACAAGTCTGCCTTGGCTTCCTCTTCCTCCTCCTCTTCCTCCTGGGAATGACCAAGTGATGGGCTAGACTTTGCTTCCTCCTCTTCCTCCTCCTCATCCTCATCACTGGTCTGGCTGAATTCAGGCTCAAGGACATCAGGGCTGGCTCTGGCCTCGTCCCCATCCTCCAGGTCACTGCACTGCTCATCTGGGGTGGAGGTTTTGACACCTTGTCCCTTCTCTTCCTCCTCCTCCTCCCAGGACTGCTCACACTGGGGATTGTCACCAGGTGCTTCCTCAAAGGATTCCCCTTTTTTCCCTTTAACCTTTTTGATTCTGAAAAGACAAATTACATGTGGGGTTTTATTTTCTGGGAAGATGCTTTCCAGGAGGTGTTAAACCACATTTATGGAATCCAGGACAAAGCCTGGTAGTCTTGGCTGGGGTGGAATTGGGGAAGGAAAGGGGGGACACAAGAGTCTCTTTTCATGCTAGAAAGTAACTCAAATTTTTAAAAAATTTCTGTGTCCTTTTAAATCATAACACCCAATAGATACTAAAAACTATTTTTTGATAAAGTTCATTTAAAAAATTTAAAATATAAAGGTAGTGACTTATAGCAACCTGCCAGAATTTTTGATGAAAGGAAAAACCAAGAAATGTTTTCTTTCATTTTTCTTTGAAGTGCATTATATAACATAACCAGCTTGGTTAAGCAGCTCTTCTCTGTTTTATGAAATGATATTTAATTCAGGAAAAGCAATCAAAAATACATACTAATGCTAACATACCACACAGTCAAACAGTTCCCTGGGAAATACTGAAAATCATTAAAAACCCCTTAAATCTACACATGAAAAGATTTCTAATTATTAGATATGTAGTGGACAAAAAGAAAAAGCCTTCAGTCACCTGTACCTTTTTCTGACAGCAGCAGAGGTAAAATCTCCAGCATTGGAGAATTGCAGTGATTTGGCTGCTCCTCCTTTCTTTGAAACAAACTCTGGGCAGATCCCCAGTGCTCTCAGTCTGTTTGAATAATACTTTTCTGCAGCAATTCTGGCATTTTTCTGTAGAAAAACCACAATGGTTAAATGTTATCTAAAGCATTCCATGCCTGGCTTTTGGTACTTTTATTTCTATTAATCCTCTGATTCATTCATTGCAGCTGACAAGTGGAAATGATTATTCACTGCAGGTAAGAATAGCAAAACAATACTTGAAAATTTTATACCAGATATTACTTTTCTGTACCAGCAATGTTTACTTGTGGTCAGAGTTTCTCATGTTGTAACTGAACCAGACACATTCACAACAGTTCTCTGCTCCCTGTGCAAGCATATCTCAAAAATTACTGATATTTATATGGAGAAACAGGGATTGAAATGGAGAAATACTGCCCTGAAGAGTGTTTTTGAAGTATCTAAAAATGTCAGACTACAAATGTCTTATTCAGTATAAGTCAAGATTAATTTAGTATTTCAGAAATAAGGCAACCTGAGCAACTCTTTCAAAAAGCAATGGCATTTGTTTTACTCTTTTTTCCATTTCTTGCAGTTCTTGCAAATATTCCTGCCTTCTCTGCCTCTCGTTGTTCCTAAGGGGAGCAGAGTACAAGAGAAATCATTATTAATTTATAGCACAAGGAGTAATTTTCTACAGCAGTTAAATTGCTCATAACAAATTAAATGTTGTCATACTTCAAGATACATAAAAGGTACTGAACAATTCATCTCTGAAGGAGTCATTTTGGCTAAACAGAGGCAGGTCCTGGCTACTGGAGTTAAATAGAGGCTGAGCTAAAAAAAATTTGGACACTTAGGGTTTTTTCCATGCTGATTTCATACAGAACTTCCAGTTGTTCTGGGCAAAATTAAAGAGAATACACCATAGGAAATTAAGAGCATGAAATAAAAATCAGTACTTTTAAAGCCTGATGATGAGAATCTTGCTACTTTAGCAGTTGATCACCAAGAGAGGTGGCCACGTTCTGGATCGTGGAACACTTTTTTCCTGAGTTGGTTTGTCAAGGGCCCAGTCAGGAGCAGGATAATGAAACTGTTGATTCCTGACTGGAATGATGTCTGGCATCACAGGGAGCATTGGATAATCCAGGTGGAATGGGTTGTAGCCCTTCCTCTGGGACAGGCAGATCTGGCAGGTCAGACACCTGAGGGCAACGATGAGATCAAGGGGGGGATTTGACACCTCAGCTTCCTCCAGCCTCTCCCCCTGACCATCTCTGAACTCCTCACCATGTTGGGAAGTGAACTTCCATGTTGCTCCTTGCTTTGAAAGGAGCATTGCCACCACCAGACCTTATTATCCAGCTGTTTGAAATGAGCATTTTTAGGTTAAACACTTGCACCAGCCTCTGCATCAGCACCAGGGAACTGATCTTGCTTTGCAACAGCAGCATTTTACACCCAGACAAGAGCTCCTGAAATCTGATTAAAAGCTGTGACGTGAAATTTGCTGTTGAATGAACTCAAATCACATCTACAATCACCTACTGTCTCTCTTAATTCTCCACCTACTCTGACTCCAGTCGTTTTCTGCTTCTGCCCTAGAGTCAGCAGATCATGTGCTCAAGGACACACAGATTGCAAAGCTCCTGTTATTAACAATGTGCCAGGTTACTGGAAATTAGGATTTGTGCTTGCTGCCCAAAAATCTTGCCCAGGCATGAAGCAATAGGGGCAGAGCAGTCAGTGCCTCCCACCATCCCCATATAACAGCACCTTAAATTGACAACTCTGCAGCTGTACCACCGTGCCAGGCCAGATCACAAACCTCACTAAAGGCTTCTTCAAACAGGATCAATGTTTTTTAGGATTTTAGAAAAGCAGAAAGGGTTAAAATAGCCCCAAACACGAGCCCAGGCAGCAGTGGTGGGGTTAGAGCTGTGTCAGAGCTGGAGCCATGTGGCAGCTTACAGCACTCCAAGAAGGCTCTCAGCTCTTCCCTGTGTGCTCAGTCAGACACAAGCAGCCTTTGCATTGCATCTCTACTCCAGGGAACCTTGGATCCCATTCCTCCTCAACACCAGCAGCTTCTTCTGGCACTGCTGGTACACTGTGAAGTTAAAAATATTCCTGCTTTAATTTCCCTCTTCAGTGGGGGCCTGCTGGGACAAAGAAGTGAATTGTGAAATGGTCACTGCTGCACCGAAGTTGTAGCAACACCAGTGCAGTATCCAGCTCTGCAAGGATATTCTGTATCCACACTGTTCCCTTTCCTTCTGATTTTTATTACCTTTTTTCCTCTTTAGTTAATGCATCAATGGAGAAAACACAGAACTCTCCTTGTACCGAATCTATAATAATCTAATATGGAATATATGTATTTCTGTATTTCTATACTCTGAGTTCAATATGGCTTGGCAACAATTTCCCAGTTGAAATGCTAAATTTGGCCACTTTTTAACCAGCTGCTTGCACCATATTTAATTTAGCACGTGTAAGTATCTAAACTCAGACTATGGTATTTTTTACACATTGTATGTTTAACATACAGTGCAATCCCAAACCTCTCCTTCTCATTATTGAATGAGGTGTTCAGGATACAGGGGAATGCAACAAAATACCTGAATGTTTTTAATCTGGATTTAGACATCTGAGCTAGGCTCTGATGTGGGTCATTTGCCTCAGCCCGAGCCATCACAATTTTCTGGAATTTTTTCGTTCTTTGTTTCTGCTTGGTTCTGTTCCTCTTTTGTTGTTCTTCCAGCTTTCTCTTTTCCTCAAGGGAATTCCTGGTGGGGAAAATAAACTAATGCTGAATTAATTTTAAATCTAGAGCAAGACTTCAAAGGGAGCTTTGGCAAAGATGATTCCAAAGAGAAAAACAGGGTGAAAACAGGGTTGCTATGAGAGGACACAAGGTATGTGCCATTTTAAGGGATTCAGGATATCCTGGGAAACAGCACACATTTGTTTTCTTCTTAGGGACATGCTGACAAAAATGCACGAGTGTTCCTAACAATAATAAATACTAATGAAGTCTCATATGTAAATATTTTAAGATTTGTATTATATAAGCCCTTATGTTAACAAATTAAATCCTATATTCACTACATGGAAGGATTAACTGCATATGTAGAAATACCAAAACCGCCACCAACTAAAATACCAAATATATACTAATACAAAAAAAAACCACCAAAAAACCCTCTACTTTTCAAGTATATAGAAAGCAGAGCATCTCTAAGCACCTTAGGGCTTGTAGCCGTCGTCTGGTGGCTTCTGTGTTTTTGGGAGGTTTGGGTTTTCCTCTTCTCCAGACATGTGGGTTTTCCCCTGACTGCCCCATCTGAGGTTTCCGTCTCAGAGAGGCAAATGGCCACCGTGTTTCCTTCAATGTTTCTTCATCCTCTTGAATGTCCTTCAAGATCTTGTCCTTGTTTGAGGGAATGTATGAAGTAAAAAGGTGGAAAGGCTCACAGACTGTGAGGGGTTTCACTTTTTTTTGTTGCAGGAGGTGTTTCTGGAATTTCTCATGTAGGAGTTCAAAATCAGGAATGCTTGGTTTGATCTTGGGTTTGTGCTCAGTGCTCTTGTGTTTCTTCTTTTTGTTGGTCTCTTTTAAGGCCAGTCTGCTGTTGGGTACACTTGAATTTCGTAGCAGCTCCTCTGCTCTCATCCTGATCCTGATTTCCCTGTAGAGCTCCTTCTCCTTTAGCTTGTCACTGAAATCTGGACTATAAACACATTTTGGGACCGGTCTCGCTCTGAACGCTTTGGTTTTATTTTCAGGTGGCAAAACATCTTTTAACTGCATTTTCCTGGCTTCTCTCCTTTGCCTCTCTCTCTCAATGAATTTAAATGGCTTTTGGGAAGCCAGGAGCTTGAGTTTGCTCCTCTCCCTCACAGACCTCCTGCGCTCCTCGTTCCGCTGCACGATGTCGTGGTAGAGCGGCAGCAGGACGGCGGCGGGCACGGGATTGGCTCGGAATTTCTTCTGACACTCTGCCTCCTCCTCCAGCTGCTTCTTCAGCAAGTGATTTTCCAGTTCAATCTGTGACTTGGATTTGATGTTCTGCTCTTTCTTCTGGGCTTCCCTGATGGTCATCTGGAAGGGTTTGGGCACGGTGATTCTGGGAGACCACGCTTTCTGTTTCGCGGGCACCTTCCTGCAGGGTGGTGAGCTGGGCAAGCTGTGCTTGGCACGGGAGATGTACTCTGCCAGAGAGAACCCATCCCACATTTTTTCAATCTGCTGCCTAGCAAACGAGGATGATTCAGTTTCACTGCTGTTTTCTTCAAACACTAATTCTACCTCAGACACGTCGGATACACTTGAGTCCAATGGATCACTTAAGTCTGAGTCTGAAAAGGATTTGTGCAGGTTAAGAGGCTGATACGAGCTCTTGTCCCAAGTTGGCCTTGAAAATAAAGGGGGAAAAAAAAACTTGGTTTGAGCCAACACTGATGCAAACACTTCCACTCTAAGGAATCATCACTAGAAACAAAACTGAGTGGCTGAGGGGGGAAAAAGAGCAGCACACGGGGCACTCAAAGCAGATCCTGATCACCAAGTCACCACTTGCTGCCTTGGGAAAGTCCCTGTGCTTTCCTCAATGTGCTGCCCAATCCCTGCAGTACACCCACCCCCAAACCTCCCAGCCCATTAGCAAAGTAATGAGTGTTTCCATTATCAAAACTGACTTCTCTCTGATATCTGGTTATGAGAGATGGGGAGTGCAACACTTGCCAGCCCAGAAACACACCCTGCTGTTTTAGAGCTGCCTGCAGAGCATTTGGGAATCTTCAGCTAAAAAGTGTCCCCAAACTTACCTACAGCACTTTGGAGAGGTGTCATTTCTCTTATCCAAGGCTTGGACTCCTTTTAAATAGGGTTTGTTCCTATACATACTTTCCAGTTTTGCCATGGTCTCCATGTGGGCATTCTTCAACTCTTCCAGCTTCAAGTAATACTCTTGGTTTGAATTGTACATTTTGGAAAAGTCTATCCAATTGTCACAGTCTCTCTTTGGAGGGGAGCTCTGCTCTCTGTTGGTATTTGAATCCAAGTCAAAGCCATCCTAGAAGAGATGTTTGTAAATTTTTTCTGCTAGTAGGAAGGGGAACAAAGTTCTTAATATTGCTTCATCCTATTTGAATCTAATGAATGGTAAAGTAACACAAAATAGAGATACCTGTATACAAATGTTAATGCAGAAGTACATGGAATAATCTTATTGCATAGTAATTTATATCCTAAGGGTCCTATTTAAAGCCTGTAAAAATTCCCAAGTTTGCCCTGTAATCAATGTGTTTATAACAGGAGATATGATCAAAAGGATTTACCAAAAGAAAAAAAAAAACAACCAAAACTATTTTGTAAAGTGCAATTTTTCCTTGATTACTATGCAGCTCTAAAAATGCCTTTATTTACAAGAAAACTGAACCTCCTAGTTCTATAACCACTCTAAAAATAAGTCATTAGAGATGTGGTGCATAAATGTTTATTCCATTTCCATAAGTTCCTGTGAAATTACAGGGATTCTGCACAGCTTTTATTTCCAATACCGTTTGGCAGTTTGCAGCTTTAAGTATTTTTTAAGCTTACACAAGCCAGAGAAGTTATTAGAGCCAGGTTAGTCAGCATCACAAAAGCTTCATTTTGTTCTAAGCAGCATGTTCTAAAAAGTCACGGGCCAGTTTCTTTATAAAAAAATTAGAGTACTACTTTTCCACACAGGGATATTTTAATAAGCTTTGATATTCCAACAACAACAACAAAAATCCAACTTGTATATGTTTTGTCAGCTTTTCACTGCAAAAAATCCTTAAGTAGCAGTGGCCTCATGGAGTGGGAATTACAGGATGGAAGCAGCGAATTTAAAGGGCCCATCAGCGCCAGCACCCTCCACCTCCCTGAATCTGCTGCTGCCACCAGATATATACGTGTATAGACACACACACATATATAAATATATATAAAAAATATATATACACATATATAAATATATATACATATATACACACATATATATACATATACACACACATATATATATATGCATATATACACACATATATATACACATATATACACACACATATATACATATATACACACATATATATACATACACACACACATATATATATATGCATATATACACACATATATATACACATATATACACACACATATATACATATGCATATATACACACATATATATACACATATATACACACACATATATACATATATACACACATATATATACATATATATGCATATATACACACACACGTATATATATACATATATATACATATATACACACATATATATGCATATATATGCATATATACACACACACGTATATATATACATATATACACACACATATATATTTGCACATATATATACACGTATAAATCTGGTGTATAAACGCAGTTTCTTTTCTCGATCTCTGGGACATCCTCTCCCCGGGCTGGGCACCGCTCTTACATCTGCAGTCCCGACGCCGCGGTGCCCACAAGCTCATTAAAGGATCGGCGCTGCAGCAGGGCCATCTGCCAGCTGTCCCCGTGTGTGTGAGTGTCCCTGGCTCCCGGGGGAGGCACAGACCCCTCGGCAGAGCACTTTCACGGGGGGGGAAGCAGCGCCCGGGTGCCCGCAGCCCCTCCCGGCCGTGCCCGCGGTACCTGCCCGGCGGCGGGCGGCGGTGCCCGCTCGTAGAGCGCGGCGGGTGCCCGTGTGCGCGGGTCGAGCGGCGTGCGGAGGCAGGAGGCGGCCAGGCGGGCGGCCCGGTGCGCGTCCTCCATCCCGGCCACGGAGCGCAGGGAGAGGCGGATCCTGCTCCGCCCCCGCGGAGGCGGCCCCGGGGCGGGAGCGGGAGCGGGAGCGGGGCGCGTTAACCGCCCGGCCCGAGGCCGAGCTCAGCCGCCGCCCGTGCGGGTTTCCAGGTGACTTGTTGCAGGGTTTTAGTCGGAGCATCTTGTTTTCTCACTGGAGACCGCGCTTTCTGCACCAGCAAGATATTGAAGAAGCTTTTTCCGTCTTGAAGTTTGTAGCTCAGGTAGGCAATTGCAGAGTAAGGCTAAACAGGAATATTCTATCCTAAACCATGATAAACAGGAACACTCTGTCCTAGGAATATTCTATCCTAAACCAGGGATTATTCTGTCCCAGGAATATTCTATTCTAAACCATGATAAACACGAATATTCTGTTCCGGGAATAGTCTGTCCTAAAGCGGGATAAGCAGGAATATTCTGTCCTAGGAATATTCTATCCTAAACCAGGATAAGTAGGAACATTCTGTCCTAGGAATAGTCTATGCTAGACGAGGAATATTTTATCCTAAACCAGGCTATACACTAATATTCTGTCCCAAGAATAGTCTATCCTAAACCAGGAACATTCTGTCCTAGGAATATTCTATCCCAAAGGGGGATAAGCAGGAATATTCTGTCCTAAGAATATTCTATCCTAAACCAGGATAAGCAGTAATATTCTGTCCCAGGAATAGTCTATCCTAAACCAGGAATATTCTGTCCCAAGAATATTCCATCCTAAACCAGGAATATTCTGCCCTAGGAATATTCTATCCTAAATCAGAAGCAGCAGGAACGTTCTGCCTGGACATTAATGCGGGATGGACCTATTTGCTGTAGTGAAATTACAAATTCTTTTTGTCATGAAATCACACAGAATTGTTTTAATTCTTGTCAAGAATTGGAACTCTGTGAAAATGGAGGATGAAAGCTTTAATCATAGTACCTAAACTAAGAGATCGTTGCTGTATGTGACCCTGTGGGGCACCATTTGCAATTTTAAACAGGCAATGAATAATTCATGCAGAGCATTAATGCCTAAATCGATTGTCTAATTTATTAATTAGTAGTTGAGTCATTCTGTTTGTTTTACTTGGCAAGTCACAACAGCAGGTCAACACCATTGTGGAAATTTACTCAAAAGCTCCAGCTCCAACCAATCATGAATGGAAATGAGAGAAGAAATGGATGAAACTCTCCTTTAAACATTAAGAGGCATCAGGTTGTTTTAATATAGCAATAATGGAGATGAAAGGGTTAATTTAAGTCAGACTAAGAATTAGAAGTTGGAAAGTTAATTTGCATTATCATAGAACAGTGTACTTTTGACTTCTAGCCAGCTTTGGGAAAACCAATTATTCTGGGGGCAGGGGGAGGAGCCCATGTGAAGAACACACTTTGTAGGGCTCTGGATCATGTGATGGCACCAGGAATCACTGCAGAGCTCAGCAGAGCAAGGAATGTCATGTGCTCCCACTGCAAAGATCCTCCTCCCCTCGAGCCTGGCATCCTAAGGCCAGTAACACCACTCACTTAGGAAAAGCTTTGGGAGAAGTAGCTCTAAGCTAGTTAAGTGTTACTAAAGTACACTTGAAGGGTGTTTTTAGAATATATCACAAGAGCTGATTGCATGCCTTACACTTTACAGCCACAGAGAGGAGAAAAGCAAATATAACAAAGCCTAACAAATTCTTACAAAATTATACAGCAAACAGTCAGGTAGACTACTGCATGTTTATTGATAAAACAGCATCTTCTTTTTGAAAACAAACTGTTTTTTAAGTTAAACCTGATCAAAGTACATCAGTCTTGGTGGAGCTTAAGACAATTCACACAGGCGCTTTTGGTGAGGAATCCATATTCGAAGCCATGGTCCCCACCTCTCTGTTCAGCTTATCCTCGAGTGTTCACCTGCAGGGAGGACACACAGTCAGGCAGAAGAAATCATAGGATACACAATTCCTTCTTCATTTAAAGATCCTAGGCTTTTAGTGACTCTAATTCCTTGCTTTATGGTGCAGTATTTATAACGCATTTAATTTTAGCTGCAGTTATTAAAAGGCTGAATGGTCTTAAGTAGCACACAAACTGAGAATACACAGCAACTGCATTTTGAAGCCCAGCAAATGACTGACAATATCCTGGTGCTTGTGAAGGAAGGATAACCCAAACCACGATGCCAACACCACTCACCACATCATCAATCTTGAGAATGCTGCGCACGGTTTCTGTCGCGAGGGTCAGAGCACTCAGAGACACCAGCAGAGGTTGCACAACCAGCTCCTCCAGGATGTTGGAAATGCCACCCTAGGGGAACAAAGGGCCTTCAGTTTGTGCAAGACAGTCACACTTAGCACGTTTTCTTTTAGCAGAATCCTGAGGACAGTCAACTCCTAAACTATAACAGGGCATTACAGCACACATCTTCTCTCCCCAAGCATTTATCCAGTCAAAATCAGCCAACAGAAAAGGCCAACAGTGCCAGTTGAGAAAAAGCTGTGGTGCTGCTCCCAGCTTATGACCACCTTCCACTCCAGATCCTACTGATGGACAATTCTAAATGGATCTACTGTTGTAGCTGAAATGCTTTTGTAGAGATGTGAGATGTTTCTTGTCCTGTGGGTACAGCATTTAATATCTGCTACTATCAATGCTTGGGGAGAGTTCCTGAGAGAACAAGCTGTCCTTTCCCTCTGCTAATTTTAGGAAGGCTACCACTGTGAGACACCACCTTGCCCTCTCCCTAGTCCAGCACTAAGGTTAAGCATTTCCCCAGTAACACCCAGGTATTCTAACCCCCTTTACCTTTCTGACATTAATGCCAGCTGTTTTCTCTCCTTGGGCATGTCTGTTTCTGAGCTCTGTGACCGTGGAGATGGGATTGAGGCCTGCATTCTCAGCCAGGGTGGAGGGAATGACCTCAAGTGCATCCCCGTAGGCACGGACACAGTAGGACTCCATCCCCTTCAGCGTCCGCGCGTACTCGTTCAGCCGCAGCGCCAGCTCGATCTCGGGGGCTCCACCACCAGCAATCAAAGCCCTGAAATCACAAACACAGAGCACAGAAACCATCAAACCTCACTCCACAGCACTGCACACGCATCAGGCTCCATGTGTCACTCATGAACCCGACAGAGACATTACCTTTTCTTCACTAAGCACCTTATGACACACAGGGCATCGTGAATGGAGCGCTCGGCTTCCTCCAGGACGAGTTTGTTGGACCCACGGACCACGATGCTCACAGTTTTCCCAGGGTTTGTGCAGCCTGTGATCTAAAACATAAAACCAAATACTGACACTGGGGAACAAATAAAAATTTGGGATAAAAAGACACTGCCATTGGGACTTTCAAACTGTGTAACAGCACTGATGTCTGGCCAAGCAAAATCACTGCACTGCCAAAGTCGGTGGCTACTCAGAGCTTAGAAATAGGTACTTAAATGTAATAAATTCCATAGTAACAAACAAAGCTACCAGTTATTAAAATAACAGACAAGATGTTAGGTAGGTATTAACATTTTGCCCCTCACTCACCTTTATTAGTTTCCCAGAACCGTTCAAGTTGACCTCCTCTGCCAGCTCAGCAGAGCCCAGCATGTCAGGGGTGAACTGGTCAATATGAGCCACAGGCTTAGTTCCAATTGTCTGAAAAATAACGGGAAAAAAAATTAATCCAGAGGCTGACTGCAGAGTCAGCAAGTACACTGTATGTTGTCTTTCTGCAAAAGACAGTAAAATGCAGAAGATACTGTAGCTTTTACATCTGTCCTGAATCCTTCTATAGAAGTGTGACTTCTCAGCAGAGCAGGAATGTCTTTTAAGGCTATGTCTGCTCTTGTATTATAGTCAAAACATGAAACTTGTGAAAAATGTCACGGTAAACTGGCCCCGGCTGGGCAGTTAGTTTTGGGGTAGATTTTAAAACTGCTGCTCATTTATACAACCCACCTTACCTTACATATAAACTCAATGTCTTCTCTTTCAATGTCTTTAACCACCATGATCTTAACTTTGTTCAGAAAATGGAGGGCCAGGTCACTGAGAGCATCCCTGAAAACGAGAGGGAAGGAGTCAGGTCCCAGTGCTCCAGTTCTTCAGAGTACAAAGTAAGAATGTCATCAAACTCAAAATACAGTGCTGGTGCTTTCTAAAAGTACAGTGACTGTTACTCTGCCAAGTGTGACTGTGTTTGGCTTCAGTTTTCCCAACAATTCCAACTGTGGCCCCGAGCTGCTGCAGAGAGCCGTGCCTGGGTATTAACGTACCTCAGGATGGATTTCTGAATGAGAAGCACATTGCAGCCAGCCTTCTTGATCTGCTTCACCAGGTTCAGGATGTAGGCTCTCTCCTCACGCAGCACTCTGTCCATTTGAGCATAGTCAGAAACAACGATCTGGTTGTCCATCTGTTTCAAATTAAAAAAAGAGAAAAGCAGGTACTGTGAGCTGACTTTAAAAGCAAGTGTCAAAATGTACCACATTCTTTAACACAAGATGCTGTAATTCCAAACAAAGAAGCATAACAGCAAAATACTAATGGAGATAGTTCAGGTAACACAATTTAAATTTAGACAATTTTAAACATAATTTAAAAAAACATTTGTTATTCCATTTGCTTGTCCCAAGTCCCAGAGTATGAAGCTTTGCTCTAGCCACAGTGTGACTTACATCTGTCTTAGGAGCAGACAAGCAGAACTGAATGAGGCCAATTTTGGCTTTTTCCACTCTGGTTACGCCGGTATTTGCCACCTTCTGAGTCAGGACGAGTCCCTCAACCAGTTCACAATCATCAATTGTGCCTCTGGAAACAAACACAACCCATCACTGGAGCACTCTGGCAAAATGAGTTCACAGAGACAAAATCTGTCTAATTACAAACTGTTTCTTACCCC